TATTAATTTTATATATATATATATATATATATATTTTAAATGAAAACACTAACTATATTCAATTTGCTAAAATTAATCTTAGATTTAATTAAACTGTTGAATCCTTATACTTAATTTATTTAGTTGGTTTTAACCGGATATATATTGAACAAAAAAAAAAACAAAATGAATGAAATTGATCTTTTTGTGTTAATATTTTTATTAACTTATATAAATCAATATTGTATTATACCTCCATTATATTCTAATTAGTATTAGATGAAATATAAAATGAAAGACTGAACATAGAAACTAAAAAATATATTAAAAAAATGAATTGAATACAGATAATAAAGACCGAAACTATATATAATTAAGTATTATTTTAATAATAATAATATACTAGAAAAGTTATAAATGGAAGGCACGACTTATGTTGCAGGGAAGTTGTAAATGAAGGCACAACATTTAATATAACAGAGTAAAATTGCGCCTCTTGTCCGTGAACTTTTTAATTATGAAGTTATGGATGACACTTACAGTTTTTAAATATCTTTTTCTATAATAATTTTAAATTTGATATATAGTAAGAAAAGAAACAAGACTTTTAGCTGCAAGTTCTTGATTATAAATAAGTAAATCTTTAATCCGAAAATGTTCTAACATAAACTGCATGACTTTACCCATTTATTATAGAATACTATCAATGATAATTTAACTATTAATTTCTCTATCTGAATTCTGAAACCAAAGCACATGGCACTCTAACCACCCATTAATATTTATAAATAAGCAAAGAGTTTATTGTATTATTTGGTTAAAAGAAAAGAAAAAAAGTATAAGGGGATGTGAATGGAATGCGTAACATGATTGGAATTAAGACAAGTGCAACTAGGGATGGGAAGGGTACAAGTGAAGAGAGAAAATGAAGAAAAGCAATTATGGATAGCAATAAGCATTATTGGTGTAGACAAAGGGAGGCCCAAGTTCAGAGAAGCTGACCCTCGAAACATGTTCTAAATAATTCCTGTGAAGAACTCAAACAAGTTTTGGTCAGATCTCGAGGAGCTTCAGGTGCAAGTTTTCCCAACTACATTTTATGAATCACTCACCAACACCAATTTTTTTTATTTTATATATATTTTCTTCCCAGATAATGTTCTTTCAGACACTCCATGCAATTCAAAAGGTATATGCTTACTGCTTAGTAGTATGAAAATAAATTTTACACAAATAAAAAGAAATAGCAAATCAGCAACCTCCCATACTAAAAATTAATTACAATATATAACAACAATGAAAATCAAACACTTCATTAAATCTACGTTCATCTTCCTTAAATTTCACTACAACACTGACGTCTCTAATAGTTCAAAATTTTTATAATTTAATCAATAATTTTGTGTTTAAACTGTAAATATACAATTGTGTTATATATTATTTAAATGGGCAACTTTGTTATAAATATTAATATTATTCAACTTGAATAAAATTGTTTAATGATACGTGTTATTATTTTTGTAAAAATAACTTAAGTGTCCGTATCTAGTACTATTTACTGGGCTTTAATAAATTATTCATATTTAAAAATTATTTTTTCTCTTATGGAGCTCGTTTAAAATTTATATTGAAACAAATAGCTATTTAAATTAATAAATTTCAACGGGCTAGATTTTTTATCTTTTACAAGGAAAAATGATTTATTTTTGTTTCATGGTTTTGTCTTTCTCAGTAGTACTGGAGAACACCATGAGTTGGTTTGATTTTCTTAAAAGGAATGAACAATTGGAATTGCTTTGTTGGACCATACCTGCTGGCTGAGGGATCAGTGATCAGTCATGGTGTATTTGATTTTCTATTTAGAATAGTTTGGACAAAAGATAGTAGCTTAAAAGAAATTAATAACCTTTTGCTGAAATCATTAGATATATTTTTCAAACAAGCACCGTGTGAAGAAAAATGTACAAGTTATAAGAATTATTACCAAAGGGCCGGGGAAGGAATATTAATGTGTTTTTATAAAGATGAAAATTTTAGAAGTGGAAAATTGTGTTTGTGTCTGACGTCACGTGGTTCACTTGTGAAGTAATTAAGTTGAAAGTGTGTTACGTTGAAGTGATATTAGCATGCAATGCATTTGGATTAATGAGGTTAATAATATATAATATATGGTGGGAGAAGGCATGTGATTCTCTATCTGTAGCTAGCGAACAAGAAGAGTGGGAGAGTGCAGGGTTTTTATGATTCCTTACCGTACTCGTGTCACTATCATGTCAGCGAGACGGAAACCACATTTTCCTGAAAAAGAGACACCAACCAACACAGTAATTTCTACTACTTACTCTCCACTCATCACTCATCACTCATCACATCAATAATACACATCCATTTTCTAACAACTAATCTTTTCTAATAATAAATCTTCTAATATAACTAATTATATCAAATTTACAATTTCATTAGGCTTTAATCTCTTGCTCTTATAGATTTATGTTAGAGGCATGCAACAAGCATTGTTGAATCCAAATTCTTGGTGGTTATATGAGAAATCTTTTAGATGTACAAATTTTAAGAATGAAGGAATGGTGTTTGGACTATGTTATATATATGTCCATATTGGATTGGGCTTGCGGTTGAATTTGTTTGGAGACATAGGATTGATTAGGAAAGGGGTTTGTAGTTAAGAATGTAAAAAATAAACAAGTAAATATGTAATTGGGTAGCATGATTGGAGACAAGACGAGAAAAAGAGGTTGAAGGAGGTGGGGTACCTTCAATTTCCATTTAAAATATGCTTTATTCTTCTCTTCTCTTCTCCTCTCCAACGTAAGGATTCCATTCACACTACTCATCTTCTGCTCCCGTGGGCCCTACATCTGCCATACCCCCATATTCCTATTACCTAAAACCCTTGACCCACATAGATTAGGTTCTCATCTATTGTCGTAATCAACGTTACAATTTATCTACCTTCAAATGCTCCTCTCGTACATGCATATATATTACATACATATATATGTCAACTCCAACACCATGTGCAACACCAAACATAGATCCACTCCTTTCTTCATTCTTAGCGTAGAGGGCTTTTTTTTTTCGTTTTTAATTATTGCCACACATGCTAGCAAGCTACCATATACGTTGTCTAAGCCGAAAAGGGTAGTAGCTAGAGAGTAAGCTTCCCTGCCTTTATTTTCTTTTTCTTGTTGATAGAAACTTCCACGTTTAATCTCATTAACAAAAACGATGCAATATAAGGTAATTAGAATTAGATCATACGTGAATTTGAATTGTAATTTAATGTACGAAGAGTAAAAGCCACATTGTAGGTACACATTTACGTAGCCAATAATGCCGGGGTTTTGTCCATAAGCGATTATGTCCACACAAACATGAAAAAGTCCAAATTATGTCTTAGATAAAACAAGTATTGTTTGGGAAGCATTGTTCATACCAGGGTTTTAACGTTTGTTATATATGCTAGATATATTTTTCCCTTTGGCGCTAATTAGTAATTATTATTCCTTTGACTCTATGTGCATGTATGTAATATGAATATGGAGGTGTCTAGAGTAGAGGATCTCCGTTGAACCTGGTCATTTTAATTGCAGGCTATGTAATATTTGAGCCTTGGAGCCCACAATGGCCCGAAAAGTAGTTGCTGGTCTTTTTTGCCCATATTCGCGAACCTTCTCACCAGGCCCAGTTGCAACCGTGTGATAAAATGCGATGTAAGATATCCAACATTGTTCGTTTCTACGGAGCAAGGTGCTGTCCAATCATCGTGTAAAAATTACTCTTCTACTTTTGAACGGATGAAGTAAGATTTGTAAATCGAAAGATTAATCTCTAATTTAATCAATTAAATCTTTACAATTATAATAATATTAATTTTCATAAAATTGATCATCATTGTCGAACCACACTATTTTAACTGACAAAATTCTTGAACATGATATTTAACCAAATCACAAGATTTGCAAACGGTAGAAAACTATATACTAATTAAGTTTTAGATATTCCTACTGCAATTGATTATACAATTTTTTTTATACTGAGACTAGGAAGCATATTTGTTAAATTAGGGGAAGTTATTTTTATTTCAACTGCTTATTACTTATCGAGTATGGGTGAGATATTGGAAACTATTTTACCTTCTACCTCCACACGATATTACTCTATTAAGCTTTTATCCATTACAAAAAAAATCTCATTCTTGTCTCTTGTAGGAGTCTGGGTTGTGCCTCAATCCCAATGTGATGATCATCTTCTTGGATTAACTACTAATTATTACCTTGGTGAGTTATTATCTCACTAACTAGCTAGTTAAACGTTGGCCCTTCGGAGCAGATTTCTCCTTTTGTTCCTTAATCTATGAGGTATTAACATTTGTTTTCAACTATTGTTCCCCTCCTAAGGATAGGTTCTTACATGTTACTCACTCATTTGCCATTGGAAACACTGCTCCTTGTCTCACTAGCATGCGTAAGGCATATGTTGCCAACATTCATCTTAAGCCAGGATTGAACTATTCATGAGATTCTTAGTTGGATTACTTATAGTTTCTTTGTTCATAGATAAAACTAATTTGGAATTCTCTTTCATTCAAAGGCATAACTTGTATTAAGACATTTTATATTTGACTAGAGTTCACTCCTAGAAATAAAGCCCTCCCACCCCATGCAAGATCCCACAAGTTTCTTATTCTCAATTATTATTTGATCGTGACATTAAATAGAAAAGCTTGCATTAGATTTATGGGATATTTATGCTCAAATTGATAATTTCCACCTCATTAAGGTGACACTCTACCATTGAATTATATTCCTTCTCTTACCTCCATCAAAAAATAGATAAAAGGTTGAAAAACTCAACGTCACTATCCTTAAACAACTTGAACTTACTTCTCTCATGTTACAATCTTCTTGTTGTTGAGCTCTCTTTCCTCTTGATCCACAAAAATAAAATATAAAGCAGTATTAACAATTCATCATGAAAGAAATGACTAGTTGAGCCAGAATCATTAACTAAAATAAATTTAATACAAATAAAATAGAAATAGAACTTTATTTTCACATAGATATCTCTTCTACATAATATAGATCATCAAAAGGATCTCAAAGACACCAACGCACAAAAGGGATTTTTCAAAAAAATAGATTCATATTCAAAGGATACATAACGGCATGAATAAACTCACACCAACTCGTCAATTTAAGATCAAATTCGATATTTACCTTAGGAGATATTGAAAAGGAATTGGAATTGCAATATAATAATATCACATCACCACCGCAAGTGTATCAAGAGTATAATATTGACATGAATATGAACCGGTAGAATAATTTTAGTATTGGAAATCAAGTTGGATAAATAAATAAGAACTCAAGTTGAATCATTCTTATCCCTATTAAAACTTTCACTATTGATCATCAAGACAATATAATATATCTAAGGAATGTGTAATGGTACACCTATGTACAATTTGTTGCGATTCTCCACCCTAGAATTTGCCTCCTTATCCTTAAAGTTACACTGGAATTAATGAAGAGATCGTTGTCTTGCGCTTGTGCATATACAATATCGTCTCCGAAGCTTGTATTCTCGGTGGTTAACATTCAGTAAATGTTGATATACATGGAACACAGACATCCTTCGATTTCAGTAATTAATAAGTACGGGTAGTTAGACAATCTAACACAAAAAGTTGACAAATGCACCAAAACCTCGTGCAATATTAATTGAAACTCCACTGTTTATCTTCACCTCAGAGACCCAAAAAATAAAAGCTTACCAAAACTTTGTTACCTCTTCCCTTGGGGCGGTCCATAAGAATCCAAAATGCATTCAATGCACATAGTTCGAGCTACCACGTACCCCATAACAGCCCAAGACAAAGGAACAAGAGATAACATCCAAACACTCACGACTCTCTACAGTTACTGTGTAACAACCACAAGTTTTTTATTTTTTTGCCACAAGTTCATCAATCTTGCTATAAATGCTTTAATTCTTGTTGCCTGTCATGTGTAGACATGCTCCATTGTTTCTGCTGGCATTTTGTGGTCGTAGTCGCATTTATGTTGCCTCATGTTAGATCGCATCTTTGATGTATACAGTATATAACTTTAGCTTTTAACGGTGAAACAGCGCATAGGCTTGATCGCTCGTCCATTTTACACGGATGAAAACTCAAGGGACATGCATATTGTTACGGTGAATCATATCAAAAACTTTTTAAGTCTCCACAATCTATAAGATACAACAACCAATGAATAATAACTTGTGATATATGATAACAAACAACCTCACTTTTCCCTCGCACGTTAATTGGAATCTTTCATAAATCGGCAAAGATTCCCACGCGGATCATGTGGAACGCAATACACTCAATTACTTTTGATTCTCACCACGATGTGAATAATAAACCAATGGTTTCTCAAGCATCCTCTCCTCCAACTTCTTATCCACAATACCCAACTTGCACAGTGCTATCTCTGTCGAACCAACCGTATCATTATTATTACCGTTATGTCTCAAAACCCCCCATAGACCTAGACCTCTTTATCCTCGTCACCGCCACTCTCCCTTTCCTAGTTCCGAACCCTAAACCCTAAACCCAGCCAAACCAGAGTTATTAATTTTTACATCACCGAAAAAACCAGAACCATCAGATCTGGACCTAACAGCTGGATTCGCGGGTCCACCCTCACACTCTACACCCGATACACTAGATACCTTCCCATTCCTTCTACAGTTTCTACTACTCACGGTCACAACTTCCTCCTCACTCCTGTCCCATTCAATGTTCAATTCCCCACGCGCCACCACGCGCCTCTTGAATCTCTTCCAAATAACCGGCGTGCGGAAACATTTCCTCACCGCCGTGAGGCACTCCACCACCTCCGCCATCTCCGGCCGCCTCTCCGCCGTGGAGCGCACGCAGCTCGCCGCCAGCGTAACCATTTTCCGGAACGCCGCCATGTCCGGCGGAGGTCCGATCCGCGGGTCGCAAATGTTGTGATACTGGCCCTGGCGGAGCAACGGCAGCGCCCAATCGAGCAGCGAGGGAGGACTGTGGGTGACGTCGATGGCGTGCCTCCCGGTGGCGATCTCGAAGAGCAAAACGCCGAAGCTGAAGACGTCGCTCTTGAAAGTCAAGTCCGCCGGCGCAAGGTAGCACGGGTCGAGGTAGCCTAACGTCCCCGCTGGAGGGACGGGAAAAAATTGAAAATCAGCGACGTGTCCTCGGAGCGCGAGGCCGAAGTCAGCGAGTCGCGCGTTCCAGTTTTTGTCGATTAGGACGTTGGAGGATTTAATGTCACGGTGAATGACGGGCGGTTCGGACGAGTGCAAAGCGCGAACCGCTTTCGCTATTTGAAGCGCGAACCGGGCTCTGGCGGTCCAGCTTGGGGGTTGGACCGCTTTCGATGAGTGGAGAAGGTCGTGGAGCGAACCGTTGGGCATGTACTCGACCACGATGACTTTCTTAGTTTGGTCGTTGCAGAAGCCAATGAGGTTTACGAGACGCCGCGTTTTCAGCTGCGAGAGGATTTGGATCTCGTTGGAGGGTTTCGTTACTTTGACGGCGGCGATTAGTGTGCCGGCGTCCAGGGCCGCTTTGTAGACGCTCCCGTGGCTGCCTTTGCCCAGGAAGTTCTCGGCCGAGAAGTGGTTGGTGGCCGCGAGGATGTCGGAGTAGGCGAAGTGGCGCACCCGGTGGTGGGCTTTCTTTGTTGGGCTTTTGTTGGGCTTACATGTGGCGATTGCGGAGTCGGTGTTGCAAGTGAGGTAGCGCATTGTGAGATTGTGATTTGTGCATGGGAGGGAACTCGGGGAAGAGACCACATAACTGTCAAAAACAAATATTCAATTTTATTTAAAGGGAACCACCATGTCACAACTTTTACACAAATACTGTATTCATATATGTATAATTTATTAGTTACCTCAATATTCAATCACAATCTAATTTTAAATGAGAAAAAATGTTTTAAATGAATAAAAGAACTCCCTAATTTTTTTATTTATTATTATCTCTACATTCAGACACGCGTGCAAACTCTGGTGCTTAATTTTTGTTTTGGTATGAATTTAAAATAGTTGTTGAATCCGAATGTTCGGCTAATTGCACAGATGCATTGAATGCTATCCTAGTCACTTTTCCGAACGATGGTCAGGCCTTCCTTTCTAACTTTGCATAATCAATCATACGAATATAGAACTGGAAATAAAGCTTGAATTGGATGATCACAGAGTACCATTCATATTTTATCAGATGAATAACAACTATACACAAAGCACCAGTTGTATTTGAATATTTTATATCTGCTTTAACTTTGTGGGGTACCTTTCTCCTTCTTTGACTAGTTGGAAACTATATTTCAAATCACACGAGTATAATTTTCATTTTCTTCTTGTCCTTTAGATATATGCTACAACTAAATAGGACAAATTCAGAAATTGAATAATTATACTTACCCAGTTGGACCCAATTTATTTATTTTAGAATCACAACTATATACATGAAGCTTTTTAGGCGGGAATATCGTAATGTCTTTTTCTTTTCTTCACATATCTTACTCATTATTTTTCTGATTAATTAATGGAATATCGTAATATCTCTTTCTTTTCTTCGCAATAATTATAATTAGGGACTATTTGAAATAAATCTTTATAACAATTCTTCGTCTAGAAACAGTTGTAGGAAGAGAACCATTCTATAGAAGAAGAAGAAGAAGAAAACTTGCCACAGTGACTTGGAATTAGATAATAGTAAAAAAAAAATTATATTGTGAGTGGATATACGTACTTTTCTCTCTAATAATAATAATAATTAATAAGCTGAACAGACAAGCATTTATTATTTATTATTTATGGTATCATTAAGTCTAAGCCTGTGATCAGAAATTTAAAAGAAGCAAAGAATTATGTTTGTAACAGATAATTGAGAGACACCGCATGAGAGCAACAAATTGAATGACAAGATTAGGATAAACGAAGTATGGAGAAAAGTTTTAAACAAACTGAAGACACGCAACAAGAGAAAAAAGCTAAACAGAAACATGGGGACGAGAAGCTTATGACTCGATTAAATAAAGCTGATAGGGCCCAAGCTCCAAATCATTGTGTTTTACTAAAATGGGAGTGGCAGAAGAGCAAAACAAAACTAAAATGATTAAGGACACAAATGACAGAGTTCAGAAAGTGATCGATGACAACTCTAACCAAATTAGTTAGATAGTTAAGCTTAGGAATTTTCTGTAATAACCATGCAATGTAACTGCTTCATTCTGATTTCAGTAACTTTCAACACCTTTTTTTTTTTTTTTTTTAAGTTCCTACACATACACTTTATAATTCATTTTACTCCTTACATGATTAGACACAAGACTAAAATAAGTAATTTCTACATGGAGGAACTAAAATAAAATAAAAAATTGTGCAAGTATAGAAAATAAATGCAAATTTCAAACGAGCTAAATGCTTGTTTGTTTGCTCGCTAAGAATGTTAAAGACCGACAGTGCAGTATGAAATATGGAGCACACTAAGTGGCAATAGATTTTTGCCTACTTCGGCCCAATCATAATTGGGCTCTAAATTATTTTGCACCATAGTTGGATTTTCAGTTATAGTGATAATATTGAGTAAGTAAAGTCAAATCCATGTCTTTTACTAATAAGGGAGGCCCATGAAGTACAATCGTGTCGCGTGTCAACAAGTATATACAACCCTCTCATCTTCTTGAACACAGCAATGCATCGTGCATCATGCAAATACTAATAATATTGAATGCTCTTTTAACTCAATAAATGGTTCAAATTCATTTTTAATGAGGGTTTTTTTTACATAGACGAATAGCTAAATTTAGCAAGCTTAGGAAGTTACGTTGGTAAATATTGAATCACAGACATGTTTGATCTTACCATTAACCTATAGTTAGAGGAAACTAAGCGCATGGACTGGAAAAAAAAAAAAAAAAAAACCACGTAAACAACATGAAAAGATAGCTGCATATGGTGTATTGGCATGGGACTTAATATGTTTTTAAGAGTTTACAACACTAGTAACATGGATACAAAATAAAAGAGGTCTCTCTCATAACTATAAAACAAGTCTAGGATGTAACTTCTATGAGTTTCATACAATATATAACATGTTTTATCTTTATTATTATCTAGTAGTGTGTAGGCATGTATATTTACTTGCAACCACCTAGTCGATCCAAAGAGTCTGTTAGATCAGATATATATACGAATTGATGCAAACTGGTTTGACTTGGATGGTGTACAAACCCGACCCCATGGTTGACAAAGGACTAGAAGAATTTTATTAAAAAAAAAATTAAAGATTTTGCTCCCACAAGGTATTGAAGTTAATAATAAAAATTATATATTTAATAATATAAAATGATTTAGCTAGTGACCTATTTATTAATCAGTATCTTGACCAAATCGTTCAATTTTGTTAACATTGATTATAATAGTCATTTTTTTTTGCTGTCTCATTACACGGCTCCATTTGGTTTTATATTGCGTACGGAAAGATGGCTGCAACTTGAGACTTCGTTTAACAGCTCACTTATACTAAGACGTATCTCAAAAACAGCTCATTGACAAACAATCTTACGAATCAATTAACCTCTTCAGCATGTTTAAAGTAGAAATATGTTCAATCCTAAACCTAGAAATCAAAATATTCTCATGGTGTCAATATCACAATTAACCCCATTAGAAACAATAAAATAATTACGTGAACAGATCATATATAAATGAAAAATAATGCCAAGATTTTCTGAAAAACCTTGTAAACCCTAAAGCTTAAGTGTTGGTTTTGTCTCGTCTAGTATTGTTTTTATCATTTGAGTTTTGCACTACTAGAAAAATGTTATTTTCTTACAAATTTTCCTGCAAAACAAATATTCGCATAATTTTTTTTGTGAATTTTCATGCAAAAAAATATTGGCAGAAATTTTTTTGCGAATTTTCTTGCAAAAAAATATTCGCAAAATTTTTTTGCGAATTTTCCTGCAAAAAATAATTTACAGATATTTCTTACAAATTTTACTACAATTTTAATAATCATAGAAAATTTTTTTTATGATAAAAATTTGCAGAAAATATTATAAGAATTTTATTTTGTTTCTTGCAGATTTTCTTGCAAAAATAAATTCGCAAGTAATGTTTACTAAATGGTAAAAAAATTTTGCAAGTAACTTTTCCTGCGAATTTTCCTGCAAATTAATTTTAATCCGCAGGAAAAATAATAAAAAAATATTTAAATTTATAAGTTTAATATTTTAAAAAAATTTCAAGTCGCACATCGATTGAAAATAAAACAATTAAAGAGTATATAAGTTGGGACAACACTTACCTTACAAGTTGATTTGTATGGTTGAGTGTTAGACTTATAATTTACAATCTTAGAATTTAAAAGATTATCTATCATATGTTAAAGGCATGGAAACAAATGTTTCAGATGAATTCATAGTGAGCATTTGAAAGTTGAAAAATTATAGATAGAATTTATAGTTATTTATTTATTTATTTTTCGTAAAAAATATTCCTGCAAAATTTCTTCCGAAAAAATTCGCAAGAAACTTTCTTGCGAATTTTCCTACTAAATTTCTTTTGCAGGAAACTTTCCTACAAATTTATTTTTTAAGAAAATTTTTCTGCGAATTTTTTTCGTAAGAAATTTCGCAAGAAATTTTTCTGCAAATTTTAAAATTCGCAAAAAAATATTATCTATGAAGGTATTACCTGCAGATAAAATTTCGATGAAAAATTTGCAAGAACAACATTTCTTGCGAATTTTTATAAAAAATTTGCAAGAAAAGTCATATGTAATAAGAGAAATTATAGTAGTGTTAGAAATCATGAAATTTTATTATTTTAATTACTATGCGAACATTGAAGGTGCGTTAACTAGAAACATTTGACTCTAGGAAACCGTGAGTTTTTTTATTTTTTAACTGGACGGTGGATCTACCTCGTGTGAAAAATCGGGGAAAAAAAACTACCATTAACATTGTGTTGATTGCGATGAAATAAATACATAAGAAACAAAGGGAAAAAAAATTAGAAAAGAGATAAATAAAATAGTGGAAATTTTAGAGTGTTTAGTTTAAGAGAAATATAAAAGAAATAAAAGAGAAATAATCTACATCTATATATTAAAGACTAAATTATATCGAATGTAAGAAATATAATGTTAGTATATAACTTATAATAGTGAAAACTTACCTCTTTTAATCACTGCTACCAAACTATTAAATATACAACTAGGTATTTTAGATATGTTGAGAAATAGAGAGAACTCTTCTAATCTTAATTCTTTCTTAAACTTATTAAAATGAAATACCACGTACCTTTTTATAAATAACTAAGTAAGAGTTTCTATCTTATTATCATAATAATATTTCATTAAGAACTAATAAAACATTCTTATTATAAGATGATTATTATTCTATAATAACTTCTTATCATCAAACAAATAATTAAATTAATAAGATAATTAAATCATATATAAATTCTTATGTAACAACTCCTTATTATAAATCAATAAGATAATTAAAGCATACATAAATTTCACATTGTGAACTTATTAATAAATTCTTATTTAGTACTTGATCTAAATATAAGGATAAAAGTTTGGAAATTATTAATAAAAGTGATTCGTGATTTATGTACTTCATTGGAGGATTGGAGTTCAATTCTATAGAAGAAGTATAGGAGACAATGGATCTTTGGTTCTCTCTATATATTAACACCCTGAAGTTAAAAGGAAAGGTGGGAAGACTTAGAAAAACTTAAAGGATCAAGGAAGCGCTTGAAGAGTGAATGGCATACCCTTCTCCACTCAATAGCTTGTTTAGTTGTTATTCTCTATATTTATTTTTAATTTCTTGTATGATTGTAGTTTTCCTAGACAAATATAGCTAAGGTTATCGCATAGTTTGCATTTGGATTCTCTTATGCTTAATTTTATGCGAATTTTGTTTCTATACAATTGAATGAATTATCCTACTATTTTAATTCTTGTTAAGATCTGACTACGCTCAAATTAGTTAATTGATCAATGACCATACTGCAATTGACTAGTAAACTTGTAGGATTGTTGAATTTAGAGTGAATCAAAATCAATGACCCATAAATCACAGTAGAATTATATGTTTTATCTTCAAAAAAAAATGAACCCAATTCTACTCATATACTAATATAATGTTGGTTAGTTAAATATTGATATAATTATAATTTAAGACTATCTTGTAAGTTAAAATTGTTATTAAGTATAATTTTTACTAAGATAGTGTTAGGTCTACTCAAAAAACCGCATAGGTCGAAGTCGTGTCTAAGATTTCTCGGAAAATATTACGAAATCAACTCCTACTAATATTAGATATTCGAGATCGAAGATAATTATTTCGGGTTGAATAATGTTATGCTCGAAATTTAGTGAAGATGTATGGGGTGTTAACAAGTCCAGGTCGAGAAGTTAATACACGTGGGAGAACGGTTATGAGAAGTTACAATTTGGAAACCACGTAATAAGCATAGTGAATAGCGGTTATCCGATAATGGCCTACGTGCACAAAGTTAACTGTCATTAATTCACTCTATAAATTCAAAAGATCTGTATCTTTGCAGAGGTCGGAAAACTCATACTAAGACTATACTCTGAAACACTCTCTGCCTGCGCATATGGCTTTCGTGCATGAAATTGTTTTTGGGTATGATTTCTTCTCGGCCACATTTCTTTTCTCTTTTTAGGAGTAGTTTTAGTGTAGTTCGTTCTTCTTTGTAACTCCTGTTAATTATGCAAGTGAACCATGATCTGTATTGCAAATGTATCTATCGTTCATTCTGTTTATTTAAGGATTTACTTTCATGAATTTTATTACTTGTTGGTCATTGATGAATATTTGGAAATAAGTAGCTTTAAAATCGTTCTACTCCATCTCGTTATACTAAAAATACCTCATAGCGAAACATACCTAAATTGAAATGCGTGTCGTGCTAATTCGAGTAAAAAGAATTCATAAACCGAGTTTCACCGTAAACAGATAGCAACTCATGATTTATACCGTTAAGAGAAAGAAAAAATGATGGTCCATATTTACCTGAGTTTTGTAAATTACTTTTTACATGGGACAAAGATAATTCTAAAATTGAATATCACCTTCGTACTTTTATGCAATAATTAATTGTGTGCAATAAGTATGCCTTGTGCCTTTCTAACATTCTCGTTATATAAAAGTCTTCCTCGAGCAGCGCCGGAGAATAATATTACATGCGTACTTCTCCAATTAGGGCCTTTTAATTCCATTCAAGATGTAGTATTAATAATAAACAACTAGATCAAAAATTTAAATAGAGTAATTATTTTTTTAAGAGTTTTAAATATTTTATGGTGAAATATCTTATTTAAAATTTAAATATTTATGAAATTATTTAAAATAGTTGAATTTTAAATTCTCTCAAAATAAGTAAGAATTTAAATTTTTTTCATATTTTTTCTTATTTCACCTATATGATTTTTTCCATCTCTTTCTTATTTCTTATATTTTCTTTTGTTTCTCTTTCTTTGATCTCTCATACTCTATTTTCTTTTTCTCTTCTTTGCTCTCTCTTTTCTTTTTTTTCCTCCCAATTTTTTTCTATTAATTATTGAATATTTAAAAATATTTTTAATTATTAAATATTCAACAACTAACTAATACTTATTTTTATAAAATTTAATCTTAAAATATCAATAGAGGATTAAGAGGAGGGATCCACTTACTCCAAGTAAACTTACTTTACTCAATAACTCATGTTCTATGTCAAATATTAATGATCTAACTATTAAATTAAAAGTTAATGCATAGATCAAATCTACAAATTTTTTAAAAAAAATTAAAAATCATTTGATATTCCATTTTATTAATTCAAATTGACAAATATTCATACAGGTTGATTAGAATTTATGAAATGGAGTGTTAAATAATTTCTAAATTTTTCAAAAATTTACATATTTAATCTATGTATAAAGAACATGAGTTACATAGACTTACTCTTGAAGTAAGTGGATCCATTTATATATATATATATATATATATATATATATATATATTATATAAAATTTGAAATTTTTGAATTAATTTATTTCAATAAAATATTTAAAAAATAATAAAAATCAAAATCAAAATAATTTAAGTTTCAAAAATTTTAAATTTTTTAAATTTATAAAATTACTCATCCAAATAGATGGATGGAATTGCAAATTAGTTATCCGAGTTACCCAATTGTATTAGCTTTGAGGAGTTAAACAGCTGCGCGTGATTTTTTTATTGCCCCAAATTGCACATTAAAGTTTCATATAAGGACTCGCTTGACGCAAATTTTTATTAGCCAATTGTGTCCACATTAGGAAAAGAAAAGTAAAAATTACGCAAGGAAAGGCGTACATCATACTTCCATCAATTACATTCCGGAGGAAAGGCTACATCATTTTTTTATTTTTAGCATTAAAATAAAGTAATTGGCTTCTATGGCATGGCATCAAGTTTCCACAATGCACTTTACTAGTCAACTTATTCTAATGAATCATCTTCGTCTTAATTAGGCTTTAAATCTAGTCATCTTTTCAATATTTTCCTAGGAATCTCTAGCATTTTGCAAACTATATAATCAAAAAGCAAAAAAAAAAGAAAGAAGAAAAAAGAATCTTGTGAAAAAAGCAAATCGCTGTCCACTATCCAGGATTTTAGGTATCTTGCATCCATTGGTGTAAACCTTCACACAATGTGCGGTGAGGGATTTTACACATTCATGCAATTGATCAATGAGACCAAGATGGGAAGACCCATATTTCATCTTAGTAAATCTAACTTCAAATACGTATTTTACCTTAAGTCCACTCTAATGATTCTTTTAAGTAAAATTTTAAATTTGGATGATGTAAATAGAAAAAGGTGTCATTGAAAGATAGATATAGAGGCTACCAAAAATAATCAATTAAAAATTTCAAAGTAAATTGATGGTGGACAAAGTGAACGATACGCAATTACCCCTTAAAAGAAAATCTCTGTTTAGAGGTATCATTTCATGTTTGCAAGTACTTAAAGAAATGAATTTCCATGTGCAGTTGACCCCCTTGTCTTGTACTATGTGTTAATCGATTCTACGTCAAGGACCAAGCCCCACTTCAAAGCGTGTGCCGATGTTGCCTAGAAATTTCTAGCAAACTTTTAGAAACGTTCTTCCTATCCTATAGACTTTTTGGCATGCAAGACGCGTGGTTATCATGAATCACTTAGCAGTTAAGCACTTAAGCCTCAAGAGTCTTGCACCTCTTTCAATCACCTTAATCTCATTCACATTAAATTTGGAAAAACAAAACGTTAAGCATGCTTTGCTTCTCCAATTTTCCTCCCAAGTCATTGAATAGAGCTCATGCCGTTATGTTTTTCAGGAAAATAGAAGAGGGTATTTGATTTTTTGTTACCATGAAGATCGAACCTAAAACTAATCAAGCAAATTATCAAACTCTTCACCAATAGCAAACTACCTAAATAGCCTAATTGATGACACATGATTAATTATGCATTTAGAGCACTCTTCTTCAAACCGCATTGAGAGTTCCACTGACAAACTGAATCCTAAATTCCTTGTAAATTATGATGACAATCGAGAAGAGAATATAAAAAGGGAATGAATGGCAACGGTCAAGTGATGGTGAGTCTAAACTGTAAAATACTTTTTGCTCATTCATTAATTCACCATTGTTCTGTACATGTATTGGGACAAAACTTTGAAGGGAAAAAAGGCAAAAGCAACCAAAAACCGTGACCTTATCTTTCTTGTGTATAGATTGCTCATCTTTTACATAACTCTCTCTTCATTCAAAACCTTTTATTATTGTTGTTGTTATTATTATTATTTTAACTTGAAACTTCATCCAAAAGCTTATACCTTCTGACCTTATTCCTGAAGACCTGTTTGGTGGCAGTGGCACCAGTTCTATTTGTGATGTCTTCTGACCTGGTCCTCCTCAATCTCTCTTCCAAGGCACCGTTGGTGACTATTCTCTTGCGGGTTGAAACCAAAACCGGTGAAGATTTTTGTGGGGATGTGGATGCTGATGGTGATCTTGATGACTCTCGTGACTTTGGTTTCTTAATGGGTTTCTGAATTTGGAGAGGAGGAACACTCCCTTTCACTCCTTTCTTGACCCCAATATTTTGAGCACCATTCCTAATTTTCTTGATCCTGCTCTCATCGTCGTTGTTCCTTTGAGACGAGGAGGAATTTGAAGAATTGGTTGATTTCTCTTTGGTGTCCTCTCTCTGACTCAAACACCAATTGCAGGTTCCAAGAGACTCTGGCTTGGGGTACAGATTGCTGCAGTATCTGCCAAATTTGACAAACATGAAGGTTATGTAAAGAAGTAAAATCTAAAATCTTGTGCATATCACCCTCCCTATAGACCTGATAAAGTCAATAATCATGCAGGTCGACCTGGTGGGTTTAAGAATCATATTCATATCCAAATCCAATACCACACTAGTTAGTTATAATAAAGGCATAGAAGAGGGAGAGAAAAAATATGTTTTTTAAACGTAGTACCTGTGTTGAGATCTGAATTGGCAGACTTTGCATTGAAAAAGCTGATCAGAGAAGCCATGATCCCCACACATGCAACACTCTGTGTTGGGTTCAGAGTGAGTTCCTTTGGTTGTCATATTTTGTTGTGCGTGTTGTTTCTCATTGAGAGAGAGAGAGAGAGATTGATAATTGATGAATGAATAGCTATAGGTCTATGGCCACACAAGAAAAGGTGAGGAGACCCACAAATGACAAAACAGAGTCCATATATATAATGGAGTTGAGTTTCCGTGTGGCCGTGTTTGTGAAGCTTGTTGTTATTTAAATGCAGCAATTTCGTGTTGAGGGAGGAAAGGGAAATTAATTAATAATGGAGGCTGTTTGAGGAATGGGAAGGGGGATAGGGACATTCCTTCCTAGCTAGCCTTTAAAAATAATTAAAAAAAGAAGAAGGAAATTCTAATTGATTGGTCCAATTCGACATCATGAATATGATATTCCAAAGGAGGGGTCATGGTCATGGCCTTATAGCCTCTCCTGGCCTAGTCATAGACTCGTGAGGGACTTGTAATGCCAAAACGGAACATTGGTTAGGCTAAAAAGGCTAAGCACAATTAAGAGAAACCTTATTTATCATACCACCACATCCAGAGAACTATATAATTTTCAAAGCTAATTTTTTCTCAAATTATATTTCATCATTGAAAGTCATACTTTATAACTGTATTATCAGTTTTGATACATTATATAGATCATGTTTATTAAAAAAAATTGGCTTAATTTGGCATAAAATGACCATGGATCTTCTCCGATGTGGTCAAACACAGCAAGCCCAAAATATTTGTAACAACAGTTTCGATTGAAGTATGCATCTACATTTTATTTGAAAACCAATCAAACTACCAAAACCCACCAAAATAAGTTTTGTGAATCTCACTGGCTTCTCGTGAGTGAAGCTCATATTGTAACTGTGATCGGATGAGCCTCATGATTGCTCATACAAGTTTCTGGGCTTGAAGTCAAAGGTTGCAATATAAACCTCACCAAAAGGATGGCAGTTTAGATTCTTATACATGTGACTATAAAGTTCATCCAGGTGGCTTCTATTGATTGATTTTGTCACAACCACCATCGGTAGTTATTAGTTAGGGCTAATTCTGTCGGATATGGATTATTAGTTGGTTCCGGTGAAATCACTTCAAAATAATTAGTTGATATTAGGAAAGTCCATTGCCATGGTAACAACTAGTAAAATGATAACCATCTAAATTAGATAAGGTTTTAATATCAGACTGGTTGTTGAATTTATATAAACATTGATATTTTTGGTACATTAAACATTGATTTAAAGTTTAATCGATAAACCAATTGATATAATTAAATAGTATTATTTTAATTTTTAATTAAACAGATAACTTTTAGATATTAAAAATCAAAATTCATTTATAAATGTACGTCCTGGTCGGAATCCGATTTGACTCTCTACTTATTTCTGATATGACTCATAACAGCCAAGCCTTAAGCCCTCTCGCCTTCTAGGCTCAGGGCTGGAAGGCAAGTGTACCGTCCCGGATGGAATCCGACTTGACTCTATGCATACGACGTCCCAATTGGAGTCCTGGCCGACCCCTTCTCTACAAGGCGCTAGGTCTATATCCGACTTGGTGTCTCGGCTTAAATTGGGTCGGTAAGTATCCGACCTAAAGGCGTAGTCCGACCTGATCCCGCCTCATACGACAAACCAATTGGAAGCCACACCGACCGCCTCCCAGAGGCATTCGGTCTACACCCGATTGTACCCCTCAGCAGGAGTGTATACTCGGTCACACACCGATCCTGCTCACCCGAGAGACTACTCGGCCTATAACCGACCAGAGCCTCTCGATGGCCCTAGTCGGTCGGAAACCGATCCGATCTCCCACATAGATGTAACCCTACGGTATAAATAAGGCAAAGGTCCCACCCTTGCTTATCAAGTATCTTATGGATAAGAACGGTTAAGGAAATTCCTACATTCTCGGGGCCCGGGAGGCCCATAAACGAGAAACTATAAAATCTAAAACCCTAGAGTTGAGAGGCAGATTATACTTTTGAATGCTCTGGCTTTAAAGTTTGACCTAGGCAGAAACCCTAGTCTACCCTTTGGCCGGAACATTTTGGCGCCCACCGTGGGGCTACGGTGAAACTTTTCCTACGCCCCAAGAAATACAAAAAACCTACACTTTACCATGGCGAGAGGCGACAATAACAACAACAATTCACAACCCCCTACCATGGAAGAGATAATGGCCATGATCAATGGCTTAAGGGAGGAGAACGCGCGATCCAGGGAGAGAGAAGAGGCCGTTCAAAGGGAAAACGAGGAGATCAGGAGATGAGCGGATGAGATGCAGGCCAGAATAGCAGCTAGTACCAGAACGGTGGAGGAAGACGGCATGATGGAAGTCCCTAGGGATTTTCGACCCTTCTCGGAAGCCATAGAAGCCGAGATCATCCCCAGGGACCATCGGATACCCCAGGTGGAACCTTTCGATGGAACCCAGGATCCCAGTCAGCATCTGACGGACTTCCGAGCTCAAATGTTGATCTGTGGAGGGAGCATGGAAGTCCGCTACAAACTGTTTATGGGGACACTCAAAAAGGCGGCGCTCGATTGGTTCAGTGGTCTCCCTGATCGATCCATCACCGACTTCGATGTTTTCAGTCGGCTCTTCATGGCCCAATTTGTCGCTAATAAGAAGAAGCCGCCGATCACGTCGGACTTGTTCGATCTCAAGCAGCAGCGGGAGGAGTCGCTGAAAGATTTTCTGCAAAGGTTCAATGAAGTCGCCCTGAGGATAGCATCCTTGGATGAGAGGATGGCTGTCATCACGTTCCAGAAGGGCTTAAGGTCTGGGGCCTTCGACATCGCGCTGGAGAGAGCAAATTGTCAAACGATGTCGGAGGTGAGGGCTTTCACCCTGAGTCACATCAAGACGGAGGAAGGACAAATTAACAAGAGGGCTGTTGAGAGCCGAGAGGAGGTAGGGGGAAGTAACAAGGAGAGCAGCAAACATCTTCGACCGTGTTCAGACTGGAATAAGCGACGTGACCGCTATAACGTGAAGGATGGCAATTACCGACAGGCTGATCGGGGAGGTCATCCAAGGGGCGAGTGGATACGCACCAACGACGAGGAGAAGTTCACCCCACTCAATGTCCCTAGGAGGCAGATACTTCATGATGTCAACAGCGCAGCATTGTTCGAATTCCCAGCAGCGACGGAGCACCAATTGGGTCCCTTCAAGACCGATTGGTGTGAGTTTCACAGGACTCACGGGCACTCCACGGAAAATTGCTTCGTCCTTAGAAGACAGATTGAACGCTTGATCAAGGAGGGACGCCTGAAAAAGTTCGTGGCAAGAAAACAGGAAGAAGGCTCGTCAGATAGGCGACACAGGCGTACGCAGGACGACACAAGGAGCGATAGGCATAGAGAGAGAACTCCCCCCAAGGACACTCCAGCAAGTTCGTCAGAGATCAATCAACAAGCAGTTCATGGGGATTTCAATACAGTGGCGGGAGGATTTGCAGGAGGAGAAGCCACCTCGGCTGCTCGGAAAAGGTACACGCGCTCTGTCTTATCGGTGTTGGAAATCTGCCGACCACCACAACCCATAATTTCTTTCTCGAACGCCGACTATGAAGGGGTAGCTCCTCACGAGGACGATCCTATCGTCATTTCGACCATAGTAATGGGCTATAATGTGAAGCGTGTTCTGGTCGACCAGGGAAGTTCGGCCGACATCTTCTTTTGGGAAGCTTTCGTGGGAATGAAGATCCCCAACGACCGACTGGTGCCTTACGCGGGAACCTTGATAGGATTCGTAGGGGATCAGGTCATAGCTAAGGGATACACCGATCTAGAAACAACCTTCGGTCAAGGCTCACAGATGAAGACAGTGACTATTCGGTACTTAGTGGTGAATGCTCAGTCGTCCTACAACATACTCATCGGCAGACCTACGTTGAACAAACTGGGGGCCATTGTGTCAACTGCGCATCTGAAAGTGAAGTATCTGTTGCCAAATGGAGAGGTCGAAATCCTCAAGGTGGACCAGGAGGTCGCCCGGAAGTGCTATTCGGATAGTTTGAAGGCGAGGAGACGTTTATACACCACGCCTGCTAAAAGACACATTCATTCCATCGAGCTGGACCCTAGAATGGGACAGCTTGATCACCGACCCGCCCTCACAGAAGATGTCAAGGAAGTGGAGATGATGGAAGGGAGAAACGTAAAGATAGACACCTCTTTAACCCCTGAGGACGAAGAGAAGTTAGTCAGGGTTCTAAAAAACGTGTCGGCATTCGCGTGGCATTCTAGCGACATGCCTGGCATTGATCCAGACTTCTTGTGCCACAAACTGACTATAGACCCTAACGCGAAGGCGGTGATCCAGAAGAGAAGGAAGTTCAACGAGGAAAAATGAAGGGCGATCGCGGAAGAGACACAAAAGTTGGTGATGGCGATACATGTCCGAGAAATCCAATACCCGACCTGGTTGGCGAACGTAGTCATGGTGCGCAAGAGTAGCAGGAAATGGAGAATGTGTACGGACTTCACCGACCTTAATAAGGCTTGCCTGAAAGACTCGTACCCACTGTCGAACATAGACTGCCTGGTGGATGGGGCGTCGGGATGCGAGTTCTGAGCTTTATGGATGCCTATTCGGGGTACAACCAAATCCGAATGCATCCCGCAGACGAGGACAAAACCGCCTTCATAGCCGATCAAGCCAATTTCTATTACAGGGTCATGTCGTTCGGTCTAAAGAACGCGGGGGCGACCTACCAACGATTGATGGACAAGGTCCTTGTGAATCAGCTAGGTCGGAACGTGGAAGCTTATGTGGACGACATGGTGGTGAAGTCAGAAAGCGTCAATCGGCATTTCGACGACTTGCAAGAGTTGTTTGACACGATCGGCAAGTACCAGCTCAAATTGAATCCCGATAAGTGCTCTTTCGGGGTCCAGGCAGGAAAGTTCCTTGGTTTCTTACTGGCTCACCGAGGCATTGAAGCAAACCTTGACAAGTGCTCGGCGATCATCAACATGAGGAGTCCTTCTACGGTGAAGGAAGTGCAGCAGCTTACAGGAAGAATGGCTTCTTTGTCTCGTTTTCTGTCCAAATCAGCCGACAAGGCGTTACTGCTTTTCCAATGTCTAAGGAGAATGATCGGTTCGCTTGGACGAACGAGTGCGAGGAAGCCTTCGCAGAACTCAAGAGATCACTAGCATCGCCGCCGATTCTGACAAGACCACGACTGAATCTTCCTCTATTGATTTACATCTCGGCATCCGACCGAGCAGTTAGCGCGGTTTTAGTCCAAGAGCAGGAAGGCACTCAAGTTCCTGTGTATTTCGTGAGTCGGGTCCTACAGGGGGCAGAAGCAAGGTATCAGAAGATTGAGAAATTGGCTCTTGCAATACTAGTTACAACGCGGAAGTTAAGACACTATTTCCATAGTTATGAGGTAATAGTCTGAACTGATCATCCGATTAGGCAAATATTACAGAAGCCCGACCTGGCAGGAAGGATGATGAAGTGGTCTATAGAGCTATCAGAGTATTCCATCAAGTATGAGCCGAGAGGAGCAATCAAAGCTCAAGCACTAGCCGATTTCGTGATGGAGTTGACCTCTCCCGCTGAAGAGGGCGAGGTCGGAGAGACGCAGTGGATCCTATCAGTGGATGGAGCCTCGAACCTCGGAGGAAGTGGAGTAGGGATCGTCTTGGAAGGACCGGGAGGAATTTTGTTGGAACAATCACTACGTTTTGAATTCCGAGCAAGCAACAACCAGGCCGAGTACGAAGCGTTGTTAGCTGGCATGGCATTGGCAAAGGAAATGGGGGCGACGAGTTTGTCGGCCCGAAGTGACTCTCAACTGATCACGGGACAAGTCGCGGGAACTTTCCAAGCGAAGGATCCTCAGTTGGCCAAGTACTTGGAAAAAGTTAAGCTCTTATCGGAAAACTTCCGAGAGTTCACACTTAACCATGTACCGCGGGAGCAGAATTCGAGAGCAGATCTCCTCTCCAAGTTAGCAAGCAAAAAGAAGCCAGGAGCCACTAGGTCGGTCATCCAAGAAACCTTAGCTCAGCCGAGTATAAATGAGCAACAGGAGAGTGTCCTTTTCATCCAAGAAGAGCTCGATTGATGGATGAGACCGTACATTGCATACTTGACTCGGGGGGAGTTGCCAGAGGATAAGAAGGAGGCGTCACTGATACAGAGAGAGTCAGCCAAGTTCGTGGTGATCAATGAAAGATTATATCGAAGGGGGTTCAGCTCTCCCATTTTAAGGTGTTTGACCACATCGCAAGCACAAAGAGTGATGGACGAAGTGCATAGCGGAATGTGTGGAACAATATCGGTGGACGAGCTCTGGTGTACAAAGTTGCGAAGGCAGGTTACTTTTGGCCAAGCCTGAGGAACGACTGCGTCAATTGGGTTCAGAAATGTGATGAATGTCAAAGGCATGCAACTCTGCACCACTCCCCAGCTGAACGACTCCACTTGATCCTGTCTCCTTGGCCATTCAACAAGTGGTGTATTGACATTCTCGGTCGATTTTCGATTGCTGTGAGACAGTTGAAATTCTTGATAGTGGCCGTGGACTACTTCAGCAAATGGATTGAGGCAGAGCCTGTAGCAACCATCTCAGCAGAAAAGGTTAGAGCGTTTCTATGGAAGAATGTGGTGTGCAGGTATGGCGTTCCCCAAGTACTAGTTTCTGACAAGGGGACACAATTTGCAAGTGCGAGAGTCTGTGATTTCTGTCAACAGATCGGCATCCGAATGACATTCACTTCCATCGAACACCCTCAATCTAACGGCCAGGCGGGGTCGGCTAACAAGGTTATACTCTCGGGACTCAAAAAGCGCGTCCAAGACTCAGGTGCTTCATGGGTGGAGGAGCATCCCCGAGTGCTATGGCCGCGTCACACAACGGTTCATTCGTCGACCCAAGATACTCCTTTCAATCTAGTGTACGGACACAGACGCCATGATCCCGATCGAAATTACAGAGCCTTCAGTACGCACCACAGCTTTTTCTAAAGAGGAATCCGACCAGGGAAGACGAGTTAATTTGGACTTGATCGCAGAGACAAGAGAGAGAGCCAGGATAAATCAAGTAGCGGCCTAGAGAAGAGCAGCTTTCAAGTACAACACAAAGGTCATCCCAAGAGACTTTGTTGTAGGAGACCTCGTTTTGAAGCGTGCTCAGCTAACACAGATAAGGAACAAGCTGTCACCTAAATGGGTCAGCCCGTATAAGATTGATGATGTGGTCGGCAAGGGAGCGTATCGACTGAGGACTTTGGATGGAGGGATGATATCGAGAACTTGGAACGCCGCAAACCTACGTTTCTATTATAGCTAATCTTTCTTTCCATTTGTATTAGGTGCACTCTTTTCCTAACTCAGTATTTTTTCCCCATAAAAATAAGAGGGGTTTTTGCTGAGAAGGTTTTTAACGAGGCACCACAACCCAATAATTTCTCTATTCAATGAATATCACTATTTCTTGTTTCCTCATATGATTTTTCACATTTTTATATAGAAGTGACTAAAACTCGTGATTGTCGGCAAAAGTTCGACTGGGCGAGTATAAATAACTTGAAGACTGAAACTCGTGATTGTCGGCAAAAGTCCAACTGGGCGAATATAAATAACTCGAAGACTAAAAATCTGACTGGGTGAAGCTTTCCATATCTGGCTATTCGGAATTTTGATAACACCTGGGAAATGAGTCGGCATTTGACCGACCTCCTAATGTGAACACTTTCTTTAAAACTCATCTCGTTTCCACTCTAAAGTAGTGATCGGAATTTTGACGACTCGTCATTGCCCGACAATTGTATTTTAAGCTTTAAATGTTTTGGCTCGGTCAAGTTAGCATTCGGCCCATGACCGATTGGATATGCGAGTATACCCCCCTTAACTTGGATAAATGTTATACTATCTACATAAATCGGAACTTGACCGAGTAAGTTTAAAATTCTTTTTTTTTTTCTGCCAAATCTTACTCGGAATGTTCACGATTAGTTCATTCAAGTGTGACTATCCAACTTAGACTAATCTATTTCCTTTTCCTTATTCGGAATTTTCTTGTTCATTCCTGAAAATTTAATTGAAATTTTACCGATTTGTTATGATTCGAAAAGTTTCCAATTTTAGCTTGGGAAAGGGCGATTCATTTGGCCAAAACTCGTCATTTCACTTAGAAAATTTTTCCACTCAATTATAGTCGGCGTTATGGCGATTAGATACTGTCGGAACTCTGACGATTGACTTGCTCAAACACTCAATTTTTGACTTGGATCTCTTTCGATTCAAGTGTCGATAATCGGACTTGTGACCCGAAGCCTATTTGTTTTCCTAACCCATTATTATTAATCAAAATTTCTCCGAAATCCTTCATTTATTTTAGCGATCCATAGTTATTTCATCGGTACCTGTCCGAACCCTTTATGTTGATAATAATTTCCAACTGGGTGAATCTTTTTCTTATCGGAATTTGGGCGACTCTCCATAGTTCAATTTCGTTCTTAAATTACGATGTTTTGCTTGTTGAGAAACCTATCAGATTTTTGACGACTCATCATTTTTCAACAATTTTGTTTTAAACTTGAAATGTTTTTTTTACTCGGTCGAGATAGTAATCGGATTCCGACCCCTTTATGTTGATAATAATTTCCAACTGGGTTATCGGAATTTGGGCGACTGACCATAGTTCAATTTCATTTTTAAATTACGATGTTTTTCTTGTTGAGAAACCTATCGGATTTTTGACGATTAAAATTCACAACAAATTCTCTTTTTAATAAAAAATTTGGAATTTGGGTGAGATCTTCTTAACTTCGAAAAATTACTCACTTGTAAAAATTTTAACTCAGAAAATTTTAGTCCTCGTCTAAGTTCTTTGATTAGTTGGAGGCTCGTAAATAAATAATACGACAAGGAACACAAGCGAGACTTAGGGAAAGGAATTAGCGATACCAAAGTCATTCAACTACACACTTTAAACCTAGAAAATCAACACTAGAACACAAAACATATGTAGAAACTTATACAAAAAGCAAGGTAGTTGCAAAGTAGACTCAGTCGTCCTCAGGGGGATCTACGAGCTGCCCATCTATCATCTCTTTGAAATATCCAATGCCCTCGAGGTTGAGATCGGAGTGCAGAAACTTCACTTGAGCAGTGGCAGCGTCAAAACCTTGCATGAATTTCTTCAGTGAATCCAGTTTGGCAGCATGAAGATCGGATTGCAACTTTTCAATTTCCCCCTTCATTGTCGCCACATCACTCTCAAAAACTTGAGCGGCATCAGCATTCTTGTCTCGCGCTAGACGAGCCTTTTCGAGATCCTTCTCCAAAACTGACTTCTCGGCCTCCCAAGCTTTTCGATCGTCTTCGAAGGCACGTCGGCCTTCCAACAACTTATCCCTCTCATTGGCAATCCACTTAAAGTCAGCCTTGCCTTTGGCGACATTCTCTTCAAGGGAACTGATTTTCTTCCCTTGCAATTTGATCTCCCTGGCCATCCCACTAATCTTGTCCTCATTAATAAGGGACAAAGCCGAGAGGCGATTCGTTAGAGACTCCACGCCCTTGGCAATGGAGAAGGCACTCATCTTCTCTAGGTCACCCTTATCCCCTTCCAGCAAATCGGTATGGCGGATGTGAGAGGAATGGTTAAACTTCTCATCCCAAAATGATGGGACTCTCCCTTGCTCATTTCCTTGATCAACAGGCTCCCAGTTCTCGCCAATGCACATACTTATAGTTTGCTCTGCCGATTGAACCTCGACATCCTTCTCGACCTCATCTCCCCCAATCCCGGTTTCCAAATTCACGACAGTAACGGGTGCCTCGGTCTCTCGGTGACGCTTATGAGGGCTTTCGCCGATTGCACTCTTCAGGGCATAACCTCCCAAGTCTCTCGTCTCCTCACCAACCACAGCGGTTCCGACAGCTTTGGAAGCTTCTTGTTGCTTCCACAACTTCATCAACTCCCGATTGCTCATGCTAGCCATTTTCTCTGAAATAACACGGAATGGAATATTAGTCAACAAGAAAAACGAAGACAAAGCATTATTAGTGTTCCGGCCACGGGGTGGGCTAGGGTTTTTTCCTAGATCAGGCCGCGAAGCCAGAGCATTCAAGAGTGTAATCTGCCCTCTCAACTCTAGGGTTTAGGGTTTTATGGTACGTCGTTCATGGGCCGCTTGGGCCCCGAGGATCAAGGGATTTTCTTAACCGTCCTATTGGGGGAATATTTTCTCGTATAAGATGGGATTTTATTCTTGATATTGAAACAACCTTTAAATGGAAGAGGAAAGTCGGATTTTGGCCGAGTATCCCCTGCCGAGCCAACAGGTCGAATTCTGACCGAGTGAGTTCAGCTAAGTCGGCCCACGACCGATTAGCTCTTTAGCGAGAGGTTAGATCGGTAATATGCCGATCCCCCTCTGGACGGAGGGAATGGTGCCGGGCATGCCAGTAATCAGGTTTGGACCGAGTATCCCTGCCCTTAGGCGAAGGATTTGAATTAAAGGGAGGTAATGGGTAGCGATCGCCATACCGCTAACACAAGGTCTAGTCGGTTATTCACCGAGACGTCACACTTGCCTTCCAGCCTCAAGCATGTAAGGCGAAGAGGCTCAATGTCTGGCCATTTAGTCGGTTATTTACCGAGACGTCACAATTAGAAAAAGGGATCGGCCAAAAACCAAGTACCTATGTAAATTTTCAGTTCCTTGGGCCTATTTTCTAAATCTAGAAGTTTTGCAGTGTTGAAAATTGTTTTGAGAGCCTCAAATTTTCTAACATCTTCTTGGTCGGCCTCGGAGAGCTTCTCGGCAGATAGCCCCCCAAAAGATATCGTCTTTTGTTTCCAATATAAAGGGAACCCTTCTAGCGCATGTTCGTTACTCGAGGTACAACGTATTCAGAAATATGATCTTTTAAAGTCCTTATAGGATGATTGAAACAAAATCAAGAGCCCCCGATTTGACACCCCGTGTACAGACACCCAACTGCTACGTTTATTGGTGCGACTCTCAAAGAAGTAGAAGAACTTATCTACGGTCGGGTTTATATCTAAGCCCAAACATAGAACCTCAAACCCTCGGACAAAAGCCCAGCTAT